TATAATCTTATTTAGCTATCTATAGTCTATATAAAGGCGTAGCTTACTATTTACCTTTAGGATAAATATTATAGAGTAACCTGTAGGCAATTCTAATAGTCTAATAAATCCTTACTTTAGGTTCTTTTCTAGGTATTCTTCCAGCACTTCTAGCTTATTTTAGGCTAGTAAATAGATTGGTCTAAACTGCGGTTATTCGCCTAGTACTAGGGGAATATAGTAATCCTAAGGTTAGTGCTTTAGTAATATATTCTAAACCTTTTCTATAAAAATTCCTTTAAACTTATTATATTCTTCTGGTATAACTAGTGCTTTTGCTGCCTCGGCTAGCTGCCGGCTGCTTAGGGGTCTAGGCTACTGTTGGCTCGCTGCCCTGTTTTTTCTTTAGGCTTCTTTGCCTTTTAAAGTATCTATATTAATATCTTGTTTTTGCTTAGGCTTATCCTAGCGCGGGGTGCTTTTTAGTCCGCTTTCCGATTAAATCCTTACTTTACTAGATTTCTAATCGACTTAGGGGTTATACTGCTTTAGCTATAGTATACCTAAAATTATATTATATCTCGCCGTGTTAGTTATATTTATACTAATAGTTTTTCTATATTCTTTAATCTATATAACGCCTAGTCGAGTTTCTATAGTTACTTACCTATTACCGTGTTGTATAGGTGTACTATCTACTGTATATAGTCTATAGGGTCTGTTTTTCTATTACTAAGGGATCTGGTTTCTTCTAATAAAGTTATAGGATATAAAATTTCCTTATACGCTACTGTCTAGCAGTGCTTTTACCGGGTTCCTACTAATTTTAACTAATAGAATTATATATCTATAGTTCTAAATAGGAATAGAGTTAGGCTGCGTTGCCAGGTTTCTTTTTTTTTCTGCGATATAGGCTTTTCCTACTAAAGTGGCGATAGTTGCGGTTTGTATTTTTTTGTCTTTAGCTGCTCTATAGGACCTTATTTTTAGCTGCTCTAGCCGTTCTGTTGCTTAAGCGCCTACTTGTTTTTTAGCTATTTTTATAGCTAATAGTTTACGTGTTTTATTTCGTAATATACTAGATATAAGTCCTAGTAGTATATTTGCTAGTTTTTACCTTTCCTATATTCTATTAGGTACTAAGGGTCCGCAACTATAGTAGCTACTTCTATAAGTTTATCTTTCTTACCTATAATATAGTGCTCTGTTTCCTTAAATAGTACTAGTTGCGTAATAATATAATATCTTATCTAATATAGGTACTATCCTTAATATTTCTTATATATTATATACTCGTCGCATTCGTCCTTAATATAAAATACCTAAGATATCTATTTATAAAGTAGGTAGTTTCTATCCAGCCGTTAATTTTCCTTATTATAGACGCCTGTTTTACTAATAGGGTGTAAAGCTCTATAGATTTTAATTTCGGTTTACCTTCTATATAGCTCTAGCGGTTCTCGCTCTAGCCCTATACTAAATTCGCTGTTGCTAGACTACTTTTTTAGTTCGCGATTTTTATTACTATTATAGTATTCTTTACTATTTTTAACAGGTGATTTATTGTCTAGTTCTTGCTAGATATTGCGGCCTAGGCCTTCTAGTATATCTAATCCTGCGCAGGTTCCTGCGTTAATAGTTGCTGTTAATATTCTTGCGGCTGCAGCTATTTTTACTTTTTCCTCTCTAGTAAGCTGTTCTATAACTCTTCCTATAGCTCTTAGGAATTAGTAACTAGCTAGTGCTCTTAGCTCTGCGCCTGCTGTAGTATTTTCGGCCTTTTATACTTCTTATTCTCCGTTAAAGTATATAAGAATTTCTCTTGCGCTTTGCTTATATATAGCTACGACTCTGTCGACCTATATTTCCGTGTTTAGTAACTCGGCCTTACTATTATCTAGTAGCTCGGGTATATTAGTTTAGGGTTTTAATTGCGGTTTAATTATCTAAAATACCTTATCTATTTCTAATAGGTAGTTAATCTCTATACTCTTAACTTCTACGCCGGCGTAGTAGTTGTCTGTAGGGTTGCTATTATACTCTTCGTTCCTTATTATAGCAATAGTACGTCCCTTCGCCCTTTGCGTTAGATAGTACCCTATTGCCTGCTTATCTAACTAATAGGTAAAGCAGTTATTATTATAGCACGCGGTCTATAATATGGAATTGTGGCGGTCTATATTTAGTTTTGCTATAACTGCTGCTATTCGGGTATTCTTAGAGCACTTGCTTGTAAAGTGTCCTTGTTTTCCGCATAATAGGCATGCGCTGTTGCGCTTTCTTTCTTACCTTTTTTTGTCGGTAATTGGTTTACCCTTCTAGTTATTGCGTTGTTTTGCAATATTAATCTCTATGCGATCTCTATAGTCGCGGTTAGTTACTCTTAGCTTTAGTCTAGCTAGTTGGGCGTAAAAACAAAGTCCTTTTTTATCTGCCCGTTTTAGTTGTTGTTTATACTGTTAACTATTAATTTGTATTACTATTTCCTCAAGTTTATAAAGTGTTGGAGGCCTTTCGCCTTATACAATTTTGTTCTTAATATTTTCCTTAAAACCTTTATAATATTATGCTTGCAGAGCCTTATCTCCCTATAATAGCTTGGACGCGATTTGTATAAATTCTGAAGTATAGCGGCTGGTTAAGCCCTTCTGCTTTAGAACTGCTATTTTCTGTTCCGCTGTCCGTTCTTTATTAGTGTCTCCAAAGGTTATCTAAAGTGCTAACTTGAAGTATCCGTAGTTGCTAAATATAATATTGGTTTCTAGTTTCCAATTGTCTGCGTTGGCGTTGCTAAGCCAGTCTGTAAGCATCGGGTTAAACTAGTTAAATACTTTTTTCTTTAAGAAGGTAGCTGCTATACAGACCTTATCCGATTTAAATTCGAGGTTGCTTTAGTTCGTGCGCAGGTATAGCCTTATCTGCGTTATAAACGCTCGCAAAGCTTCTCTCTCCCTAGTAAACTCTTCGGGCTTATTTATTTTATAGCCTTTATAGCTAACTACTCTAGTAGTAGTAAGCTCCCCTTAAACGGTCTAGAGATTTCCCTATAGGGCTGTAATTTTTTTATTCTTAGTATTGCTAGCTTTTTCCAGTGTTTATATTTGTGTAAGCAACGCCTGTATGCGTGTTGCTACCTCGGTTATAGTTAGGGTTAGTCTAGCAGTTATGCTACCTAAAGGGGTTAGTAGAGCTATCTTAATTAATTGTCCGTATACAACTCCTTTAATATAGCGGTGTTTAAAGTATAACAGGTTGTTTTTTCTATACCTTCTAAGTGTTATATACTAAGGCAGGGTATAGGCAAGTTGTTATTAGGGTGTAATAGTCTTTAAAAGGTAAGGCAATAATTAATTAAGATTTAAAACGGGGTTATTACTTCTAATAGGTAGTATTAAAGTCTTAAGTTAAACACAAGGTTCCTATCTATGCAAAGGAGCGTCCCTTTATATAAAAGCTCCGTCCTAAGAAACCTCTTGCTCGTATGGCTCGCAGCCTCGAGCCCCTCGAGCGCTCGCCTGGCTTGCTCCCTCGAGCCTCTCGAGCCATCACGTGACCCTGTCCTCGTGATGTCCTATTTTTAGATCGTTCCTATCCACTAGCAGTCCGTGGGGGAATCCAGGATCCCTATGCGTCCTACACGTGACCCTCTTAGTCCCGTGACCTGGTTCTGCGTAATCAGTCTTATCTGCTTGCTTGTCTCCACGAGTGCCTCTGCGCTCGGGTTGTTCGTATTACGGGTTGTAATAAATATTGCGCATTTTTCCTAACTTAAAGGTATTCCTGCTAAAAATCCTTCTCTTTTTCTTTATCTAACTAATAAAAAAGCCCTTTTTATCTATATTCTAGGTATTTCCTAGCTATATATTATATTCCTGCATTTTTTATTCTAAGAGTTTAAAGTAGAGGCTGTAATACAGCGCTAAATTAGCTCTCTTCCTTAATTTATTAATAGGAAGAAGGTATTCTAATCTAAGGTGTTTTAAATGCTGTTTAACCCAGCGCAAAGCCTAGTTAATTCCTGGCATAATCCCAGCTATTGCTAAGGCTAGATTTCGCACCATTTAATGCGTAGGAGGAAGCCCCCTTTTAGATAGGTTGTTAATGTATTTAATAAGAGCCTTGGACTGCCCAGGGGTGAGAACCTGTTGAGAATTGTATCCATCTGCCTTGCTACCAGTTTTCCCACGGAAGCGCTTGGAGAGGGTGCTTCTGTCAACCCCATGCTTGTCGGCCATGGCCTTGATGTTCGTTTTCTCTTGGAGGTGAAGCTCCGCGATTGCAGCTTTAATTTTATCCATTTTTATTCGAAATCTGTTGAAAATTGGTGGAGTTGTGGGGTGTGGAAGAATAAGCGGTGAGGGGTGAGAAGCGTGCACGAGCCCGTAGCGTGCACGAGCCCGTGATGACTTCTATACTTATACTACGTGAGCTCGTACGTGAGCTCGTACGTGAGCTTGTACTTGAGGCTACACAAATCGGCGAGGCTACACGAATCGGAAAGGATGCATGCCGATTCGTATAGCCGTACGTGAGCTCGTACGTGAGCTCGTACGTGAGCTCGTACGTGAGGCTATACAAATCGGCGAGGCTACACGTGCGGATGCACGTGATAATAGAGCTCCGGACGAAGCTCCGAGCCGTTCTAGCCAATCAGAAGATCAGACTAGAGGGGGGGTGTGCGTGGAGTGATTTAGGGGGTGTGCGCGGAGTGATTAGGGGGTGTGCCAATATCCCTCCCCGGTAGAATTCAGGGGTTCCGAATGAGAATGCGCATTTCGCTTAGAACTACTTCGAGGTGCCACTTTTTTCCTGCTCCGCGGGATCCCACAGGTCTGTGTTCGGAGAATCCGGTCGAATATTTGTCACAGATGTCGCAGTCGTCCGATCCAGGAGTCGACGAGATCGATTCTATTTCCGTTCATTGCCCCGAATGGAGATGTTTAAAAGTGACATTCTGGTATTTGCTCCTCCACAACCCCACACTCTGGCCTCGGTAGGAGACATCATAAACTCTGTCTAACATGTCTTCGCTTGCAGGCAAAGTCATATCCCTAACTGGCGCCGCTTCCGGAATTGGCCTTGCTACCGCCAAGGTGCTTTACGCCCGGGGTGCGAGTCTCTCTTTGTGCGACCTTCGCGAGGATGCTCTGGCGAAAGCAAGCTCCGCCATTTCCACTTCTGCATCCGAGCGGCTCGTCACCACAGCCGTTGATATACGCTCCAGTGACCAAGTGGATGCATGGGTCGCAAAGACAGTCAAACATTTCGGCCACCTCGACGGCGCGGCTAATGTGGCTGGTGTAATCGGGAAGCATTATGGAGTTCATGACATCACCGAGCTCTCCAATGAGGAATGGGACTTCATTCACGGCACCAACCTGACTGGTCTCTTCTACTGTGTGCGCGCCCAACTAAAGGCTATGCGAGATGGGGGAAGCGTTGTTAACACAGCGAGTGTGACCGGTCTCGAGGGCCATGCAAAGAATGGGGCATACTCAGGTACGGCCTGACTCTACCGCTCTACCGGGGCGGCCACGCTGAGTAGGACTCAGGTTGAAATTGATGTGAACTCTGATTTCTATGGGTGTCTAGCTCGTTGTTTATATACTAGGGGAAGGAGGGGGGCCAGCCCCGGGGGCATAACGTGGTATCTCTTCCTGACGCGTTACTTGATTCATCCTGTTTCCTGATACAGTACTGATACCGTGCTGCAGCACTGCTGTTGCACTACCTGTTACTTCCTCCTGTATCAGCATGTTATCCTGATACGTTACTGCATATGAGTTGCTGACCCTAGGTTGTAGTGCTGCAACCCGAGTGTAGGGCTTACCTATTGATTTTCAGCCAGCAAGCACGGCGTCATTGGACTGACCAAAAGTGCGGCAAAAGAGGTTGGCAGCAGACGCATCCGGGTCAACGCCATCGCGCCGTAAGCTCAATCATTCCTTCAGTCCTTCAATCCTTCAATCTATTTTGGCTATCCGTCGTGCCTGATCCCGACTGCTGGGGCTGTACGTGATCAATCCAGCGTCGTTATCACCACTTGCAGTTGCGTACAACGTTGTTCTGCACCTGAAGCTGATGTACTCGTATAGCGGCATCATTAATACTCCCATGATTCATTCATTTGGCGCCGTCGAATCCGGGAAGCTTGACGTATTTGCTCGGGTACCCATTCCAAGGGTATGCGAGCCTGAGGAAGTTGGAAATCTATTCGCTTTCCTGTTGAGCGATGACTCTAAATACATAACCGCATCGACGTACCGAGTCGACGGTGGTATGTGCGGTTGAGGATATATCAGTAGAACTCAAAATCTGCTGTCACGTTAGGATTTGTAACACGTCATAGCATTGCAAAGGGTTCAAACGTCACTGTCAGACGTGACTTCTGAGTTGACAGTGACCGTCAAGCAGTAATACTGTGGTTTTGGTATGTTTATGGAATTAACTCAACCCTAACAGCTATTCTGAAGACTAGTGCCGTTGTACAGTTGTCTGGCTAGCGGACTCGCACCTCGTCAATCTAGAAATGCTTGGGGCACTTCTGGGCCCCAGACCGCCAAACCCTCGTGGCCGGCTGGACCATACGCGAGGGGGGTCTCCTCATTCACCAAATCTCCATCCGCATAGTGCTCGACCATGAAACCGTTCGCATCCCACCAGTAATCGAAGATCTGTGATCCGAGGATGTGTCTACCAACACCCCAGACAGATTTGTAGCCTTTCTGTGCGAGCCATTGGTGTCCCAGAGCCTGAGTGTCAAAATCGTGGATCTCAAAGCTGCAATGATGGACATGTGGATCTGTGTCTGGACCCAGCGACGTGAGGAACATCGTATGGTGATCTGCCAGATCCTGGCCGCGATCGATATGTGCAAACATGGCTACCAATCTGCGTTCCGGTTTGCCGTCGGCCGTAAATTCGACAGGGACGTACAAAAGATCGGATGGAATGATGTTGAAGTTCTTGGTATAGAATGACATTTGGGTTTCAAAGTCTTTTACGCAGAGTCCGAAATGACCCAGCTGTTGTGAACACAGGTTAGACAACTGCTTCGACGCCGGGGAAGAGGATGTTGCCATGCGAGAATCGATTGCCATACCTTGTACACCTCAGCTGGTCCGGGCTCAAACCTTTGGAATTGCTTCACTCGGGCCTTGGTCGATTCATCGTTCATTCTAAGCTTGCCAGGCATCTTTCGAGTCTCCGGCTTCGATTGGCCGAAAATAAAATTGACAGGAAATCCCTCGGGGTCTTCCACGGATACAATATGGCCGCCTCCTGGAGCGTCGCTCATTTCTTCCACGCCATTGGTGAGACACACAGTTCCGGGGAGTTTTGCGATTCTGTGATGAGTAGGCGCAGATTAGTATTCGATCTTGATTGTGCGGGCATTGTTTAAGGCATACTTCTCCAGCTCTTCATAGCTTTCCACCTCGAATGCTCCTCCAAGAAACTTCTTGGGCCCCTGCTGCGCGTAATACACATATTGATCAGGACCGTACCCTCGATACCACCGCCTGGTCTCAGTCTTCTTTACTACATGCATACCAAAATCTGTTAAGTAGACAAAGCTTCAGCAATCTCGGAAACACAATCAGCGGCTTCCGTTCCTCCTCTGACAAGATGGAGTATTGTCTTACCCCTGAGGAAATTCGTTATTTGCTGCAGATCCGGATGCTGATATCGCATGTGGGCGAGCTTTACCAGTCGAATTTGCTTCGACGCCTCAACACCATTGGCTTTGCGCCAAGAGGCCTTGCTACAGCTCTCTGGGCCAACGGCGATGTGATCGGGCATCGAGGCGCCTCGATTTGGCGACGGATCACGACTCATAGTATATCCCTGGTACCCATAAGCTACTAGGGTTCGATCGTGGAAACTCGTGACGTACATTCTCTCGTAGAGGCTTTACCTTTTCCTCGGTAAGGTCGTGATTGAACTCGCTCAATGCATTAACCATTTTGAGCAACTGTGTACCGTGGCTATGGGGAGTGGAGGAGAATTTTATTGACAGGTCAGGCTCGATGAGAGATGTTTCGGATCCACACTTCGCCTAGCTACCTGGAACCTTTTATCAATAGATAAGAAGTATCTCGGTACTATCAGCAGCTACCTTGGCAAGAACTCAATGTGTTCCGGCCTATGTAGTACAGAGTTAGGCCTTCACAGAAGATCATTGGTCCCTCCAATGATGCAGAGAGAACCCCGGCGTAGTTAGGCCGGCGCAAGGTACCCTGGAGTAACAGCTGATCAAACCTTTCGACTCTACTTTTCATTGGCGAGCCTGGCCCAGATCCGGAGTGCAATGTGGGAAAGGGTGGCAATAAAGCAACGGAGCATCTGCATCTCTTTGAAATTGAACCGATGCTCTAGAAATTACCATTTTGGGAACTTTTGACCGCAGTTCCTACACACAGCTATTATGTAGAGACTACGCCGTCTTCAGCGCTGCACCTTAAGGCCTCCAGTAAAAATACCGTTTCAGCATTCTCACTTACAGAAAGGGTAACGAGGGGATCATAAGTGGTCTTTTCTCTGAACGGCTGATTTAGGACTTGCCAGGCCCACAGAAATGACGAGCTTGGAACTAGACGACAAGGTACAAGGGGGCTACCTGAGCGGGCTGCCGGCGCTCCCTGCAAGCGTCTCTGTTAGTGCTTACAATCGCCACATCGCCACATGAAAACAGTGCTTATTCAGTAACTAATATTTCGTTGGGCCGCCATCAGCAGCAATTACAGCAAGGCAACGCTCCCTCATATTGCCCGTATACTTTTCAAATTCTTCGGGCTCAAGCTTCTCCCATTCCTCCTCAGCGTACTGCCGTACTTCCTCCTTTGTTGTAGGAAACCGGCGTTGTATTCTCCCCTTCAACAGCCGCCAAACGTTCTCAATTGGATTCAAATCAGGGGAATTCGCCGGCCATTCCATTACAAGCATGCCGTTCTGTTCCCAGGCCAG